CTTTTTGAATCTTTAGAAACTCTTGGAAACCGGAATCACAGGAGAATAAAGAGTGAAATTTCCAACTGAGCACAAACAGTGAAGACATCTGCCCCTTCTTTTAAAGTCTGGGACATTGACTCTGATGTTCTCGGGACATGAACTAACTTGTAACATTGAAAGGATTCTCGTTCCTGCACATCAGGAATTCAAATCTCATCTCGGCTACGGGACAATGAGACAAACAAAAACTGCTGTCGAAACTCAGCAGGTTTGGCAGAACCTGTGGGATAAAACAGAGTTCTGAAACGTTGACACTGATTCTCTGCCAGATCTGCTGAGCTTTTCCTGAAATTTATGTTTTTGTTTTTAGATGAATGTTTATCCCATCTGTTGGGATGAAACAGCCGGATCTACCATGTACTGAATTTAACCCTTCAGAAATCTGAGAAGTGATTGGATTCAAACAAACCGAGTCATGATTCACTCTTCCTCAGCTCCACACAGAGAGAGAGAGACCTGGAAAGCAGAGCTCAACGCTGCGACGTGTATAGTCGTGGCTGAGTGGTTAAGGCGATGGACTGTAAATCAATTGGCTATTCTTGCGCTATTTGAATACCGCCAACTACGGTTGAGGACTGAAAGGGATTTGCTCATTGTATTTTTGTTTGGGAAAGGTATTACAGGAGAGGTGGCCGACGAACATTTCGGTTAAGAGGGACATATGCCAATCACTGCCTGTTCGAGAGCAAGAAGCATAACACCTCACACGATTGAAGGTGATGCAGTGATTGGTTTGATGAGTTTTCAAAATTGAAAGTTGCACGTAAGCAGCCTGTGAGACTATTTCAGCTCACTGTCTTATCCCAGCTCACGGAAACAGTTCTCATTGTCCGGAGAAGTTGCTTGTGTTCCACCTAAAGCTGCCTTTTATCGCAGAAGCTTGTGCCTGGGGACGGAGAGCGGACGTGAAGCACATGCAGCAGGTATCATCCTGAGGTCTCTGTCACTCTCAGGGATGTGCCCCTGTGTCTCCCTCTGTGGGTGAAAATGAGGATGAGTTCCTCAAGGGGGTATTAACACAGTTTTACCATCTCGAACTTCAGGCCAATTTGTTGTGTTATTTGACATCACAGGGATAAATGCATTGACATTTGCCTTCGTAAAGTCAAAGCACACAAGGCTATGGGCCAAATGTTGGAAACTGGGACTAGAATGGATGGAGGTTTGATGAGCTGCACTGAAACGATGGGCCAAATGGTCTTCTTCCACGCTGTTAAAAACTCAGAGACGGAGAAACCGAGCTGCAGTGAATATGATCAGAAATGAAAACGGAAAAGCAGTGTCATTAAGAAAAGGCACGAGCTACTCTGTTGTATTTCTTGATGGTCCAGTGGTTAGGATTTAGTGCTTTCAGCGCCACTGCCTGGTTTCAATTTCCAGTCAGGGAATAGAAGTTCTGTTATGATAATTTATCGTGGTGCCAGCACTTCTGACTGATCAGGAGCGAGCAGCTAATCTGACTTTCCCAAACGTTGTGCAGGTTAACATAAAACAAAGAACTGAGGCAATCTGACACAAAACAGAAATTGGTAGAGAAACTCAGCAGGCCTGGCAGTATCTGTAGAGAGAAACAGTGCTGAAGATTCAGATCCACTGACCGTTCGTCCCTACGAGGTTAATTACGTATTTCTATATTATAATGTCGAGAGAAATTATTCGCTTTGTCTGTCAAATCAACGTATTTATCAAAATCGCTCTCTCATTAGCTTACTCACGCTAACTTTACAACTTTAAAGGGACTTCATCAGCTGTAATGCTGCTTCCGTTGCCATGAGATGGTGAAAGGCTCTGCTTAAATGGTTCTCTTTTTCTTTTCCTTTCTGTCAGTTAGCAGCCATGTCGAATGGAGAATTGGTCCTTTCAGTGTCTACCACAATATGTGTCTCTATTTGTCTCTCTTTGACTCTGTGTATCCACCTCACCCCCTTTCACAT